GGACGATTTGGATAGATTGACAAATTGGTGTTCAGTTCATAAATTAAATTTAAACTTATCTAAATGTTGTCAGATAAGTTTTTTTAAAGCTAAAAAAAAAGTTCAACACTTCATACTCTTTGAAAGGGGAAGCTTTAAGTTATGTTTCTAAAATAAGGGATCTGGAAGTGATTTTTGATGAAGGTCTAACTTTTCTTGAACATATCAATACAATATCAGTAAAATCATCAAAAGTGCTGGGCTTTGTTTTGAGAAACTGTGGGTGCGTCTCTGTTGACACTATTAGAGGATTTTATTGCTCATTAGTAAGTTCAGCGCTGGAGTATGCCTCAATGGTTTGGTCTCCATATCAGGATACTCCAATATACCAATATGCGGTGGAAAAAGTTCAGCACAGGTTCTTACGTTTTTGCGCGTTTAAATTAGGGGTTGCAATTCAGGACCATAATTATAGTTTTTTAGAGAAACAGCTTAATTTCTATACTCTGAGGGATAGAAGAACCTTTTCTGGTTTGATATTTGTTTATAGATTAGTTGATGGGAGAATTGATTCTTCCGATTTGTTGAAATGTATAAATATTGAAATAGTTACAAGAAATAGAAGGCAAGAATTTTCTTCCTTCTACATCCCATTTCATAGAACAAACTATGGCTTTAATTCTCTAGTTGATAGGTACCTACTGTAGACTCAAAAATTTTCACTATCTGGAAATATTTGATATCTCGCTATGTAGGTTTAAGAAAAGCTTGAATAGGTTGTAGGTTAAAATTAAATTTTAAGATTAATCAAGTATAGTATATTGAGTATTCTTGTAGGCAATAATTCAATCTATTTTTCATAACAATTTTGTTAATTGTAAACTGTAAATGGGGAATGGGGTTATCCCGTCAATAGATAAATAAAATAAAATTAGAACAATACAAATATCAAGTTAGGTTAGATTACAATTATGAAATAACTCCTTTACGCATGTCCTGGACAACCGAACTCGAACGAATGAGTACGAACCACCAGGGCCTTCTTTTAGGCTAATAAAGTGGTATACGGACCAACTACACAAGGACTCAATCCCCTAATGACCCAAAGATGGCACAAGACTGCTTGTCTCTCATTGGAAGGAACACTTTCAGGAACTACTCAACAGAGAATCACGAATTGAAGAAATCTTCAACGAAATTCCACAGACACCGATACAACAAGAATTGAGCGAGGCTCATAGATAACAGGAGGTTGAAAAGCCAATCAGACTAAAGAACAATAACCTCAATCTACTGAATAAATATTTCCACAACTATTCTTTTTTTTTTTTTTTTTTCGGGCATGCAAATTCTGGCCCAAGCCATCAAGTGCATTCAGTGAAGTGACACTTTAACGTAAGGAATGGTTCTCCTTTATTTTTACTTTGATTTCATTGGTATATTGATCCTTATTGTTTCATTTTTAAGAATTTCCTGTAGCAAACATTCTAATCGCGCCCGGTACTTGAATAACTATTTTATTCCCGAAAGAATAAAGAGTTTCTGGAACTGAAAAATCAAGGAGAGGGGCAATACCTGAACAAAACGTTGAAAACTGCGATGTATGATGCATGCCCATAAGTATTTGTAAAAAAAAAATCAAAAAATATTGTTCACAAACGCAATAAGAGTTTTTTTAATGTGTGGAAGATGTTTGGAGAATACTTTAACAATGTGACATAAAATATCCTAAAGACTGCATGATTTTTCTTACAATGCCAAATCGTTATTTTTTGTGATGAGACATTAGACCCCCTCTGATGTGTCTGTGTATCATGCCACCTAAAAACTTTAGTTCGGCAAAGGAAAAACGTAGATTCACTTACTAAGGATTTGTCATATATGGGAAAAGTATAGTGAAAGAAATGCCACAACGTGCCATTAAGTAGGTCCTATCCTACACACCCAAATTTTAATTTTTTCAAATTTAAATATTTAAATTTTAATATAAAGTAAAAAGGCCGAATTCCTTGAAACCAGGTCGAAATGATAGATATTAATAAGTCTCGAAGCAGCGGCAACAAGTGTCTTGGATCTCTGGGTCATATGCAAATTCGTCCTTTATTGTTTAGTGCTGATTTCTTCTTACCGCTAATCGTTAATTATTTAAAGATTCAATCTGATTTAACCGTTGGGAGAAGGTCGTTTTTACTCATCTCATACTTTGAAGCGGAATTTTTATTGTCATTGTCTCCTAAAAAATGGTATAAAATTGGAGAAATATTACCAAGGAAGACCCGGACAAAATATCCCTCAAAGAAATTAAGAATTTTTAAAAGAATAATTATCTAACTAAAAAGGGCGAAGAATTCTATTTAAATATTAGATAATGTTCGATATCTATTAAGAAACTGCGACGCAATATCAAAACTAAGTAGGTTCCAAACTGTCTAGAAATCCTTTTAAACGGCGAAACCGGTACCAATACCCATACCAACCAGGCACCAAGCTTATTACAATGTTAATTAATTGAGAACTCACATAAAAAGAAAGCTGTTTGAACAACTTGCCTTGATTTTGTATATGTATTTAACTAATGCTATGAGAAAAAGAACATCTACACACTTGAGACGAAGCAATTTTTATTCATAAAAGAATATTTTTTCAGCCACATTTTTCTCAACCACAACAAAATCCTCCAAAATTTTCAAGATTACCATGTTCGTGACCCATTGTCCGTGAATCTCCTTAAACTTGACACCCAAGCAAGCGAATTCCATTGAGTTGTGAAATTTTCAATGATCAAAACCGGCTTCATTAGCTAACTGTGGTTTTTCTTCTTCTTTCACATGTGTCTGATGATCCTAGTTCTCAGTGAAAGTTATGCTGATTTTACTACGTTACCAATCAGAAATTCAAATAAATGAATATATATGTGGTCTCTATTAAATAACTGGTTGATGATTTGTCAGTTATGGAAAAAGAATAAGGGCTAATTCTCTCTTTTTAAAAGTTTTATTTGCTTATCCAGTATGTTCCAAATACGCTAGATTGGTACCTACCTAAGAGTAATAAATATGTACTGGGCGTTACCGACAAATGAATAACGTATTGTTAAGGTGCCCACTTAAAAATGTTTAGAATTAAATTATAATGGCGATAAAGATCTTTGATGAAGGTGTCGAGCATATACAAAGAAAGGCGTGGACAATAGGACCACCAGTAGTCAAACATGAGAATAAATTAAATTAACGAGTAGAGAGGTTAAGACGCCTATTTGTTATGGTTTTTAAGTACCCAACCGATCAAAGGAACAGGCCTGTGGCACTGTTTTAGCAATGAGAATTGGGTGAGTATCAGGTGCACATAGAATTTATAGGAAATCTGTGTAAAACCCACGTCGAGTCAGAAGATGACACTTAAGTTTCATGTTTCGTCAACCGACAGATTCTATTTTATGTGTGCCTATTTGGAGAGTGAAAGTTGTTGAATACGGCCAAAGATAATAACAACTAACCATCCTAACAAGTAATCACACAAAAGTAATTTTTTTGTTTGTTTTGGTATATTAAGCTTTTTTTTTTAAACAGTTAGGTAGGTGTAAGCTTCGCCATGAACATTTTCAAATAAAAATTTAGGTTCTAAAATTTTTATTACTTTTCCCACCAAAGTCGTCTCTCTTATTCGAATCCAACCAATACCAATCATTTTTTCGACGAGAAGAGAAAATGAAGACACACCTATGGGGCATATACAACCCACACTTCTGACAAAGGATGCCGAACGAAAGTTCAAATATTTGGTATGGACTTAAGAGCAGGAAAAGAAATCGAAATTTATAAATTTTTTTATCACACGAACATCTTACATCTTACCTTCTTTGTTCGGACAGTGGCGTAGCATCAGAACTTCTTTTTGCGAAAAGGGACGCTTTGGCCAGTATGTGGAAATATATAAAAACGTTCAAACAATGCCATGTGTACATTTTCTTGAGGAAAATGCTGCTAGGCCCAGATTTTTGACATTTCTTGCAGCAACTCACCTTTAATTATCAAAGCATAACGCACGGCTAACATGGGATTTTTGGATTGTATGGATTTTCCTAATTTTTTTCATATCTCCTATAGAAAATTTAATTCTGAACAAACCTCGAAATGGGATCAAATCTTGTACGTATCAGGATTTGTGAGATGTAAGCGTTGAAAGATAGATTTTTTTGCAAAGAAATTGCTCTGTAACAATATTTTGAATGCAGCAATAACTTATAAGAATTTGTCAGTGACCTAAAATGTGATAACCTGCCAGTATTCTGACTGGCAAACATCAGGAACATTAGTTTATCGTTTGGTATATTTTTCAGGAGAAAAGTTCATCTTTAAACGTATCTCACAATACCGTAATACCCACAAAATTGGGTCCCATTTTCATAATCAAATCCTCTACGACATGTCAAAAAAATGGCAAAATCCATAGTGTTCAAAAATCCCATGTTAGCAGTGCGTTATCCTTCAACAATTTATTGATAAAGAGTACTTATTTAATAAATCATTTATTTTAAACTTACTTCTAAACACCATCCTTCTTAAACTAAATATTTTATATTCCCGCTATAATTAATTTAACTAGTTTTATGTAAGTATTTTGATGTTACGAAACAAGCTATGTATTAGCATAACTCATTTTATGGATGTAATACTTTGCATTTTTTTAGCAGAGCAAGAATGAATAGGAAATAATGAGAAATATAGAAGCAAAGGTATTATGGAGATTTTGAAAATTCAAACAAATTTTCACGCTCGAAATATTTTCCATACCTAAGAGTGAGAATGTATTTGAGTAGTAGTTAGTTTATGAAAATTTCCTAACGCTAAAATGTTTTAGGTATTATGTGATAAATATTAATTTTCAATTAATATTATAATAAAAAATAGGTTATGTTATTTTGAAGATATAATACTTAGACAAACGATCTTACTATTCCGATTTCATGTCAAGGCAAATACATATCATGAAATTGATATCTAAAAAACAACACTTTACAAAAAATCACCAATTTGTTACCATGTTTTGTGATATTTCCCAATCAATTCGATTTTTTTTTGCCTATATCTTGGACACTATGTTGACGAAATTTTCCAAGATGTGGCAAAAATGTTGTCTAAAAACAGATATGATCATAAATCTGTCAAACTAGTTTTGCATCAAACGTTATAGGGATGCAGTGCGGGTACCTGAAATAATACAAAAATTAGTATCGAAAAAAACAAACTTTTTAGACCTCAAATAATCAATATTCGGATATTGAAATCAAAATTAATCACTGAAAATGATTTTTTTTTAAAAATAATGGAATGATGTGTGTTCAACGGCAAAGAAGAATATACTGCGGTTGGTTCCGCCTATGGCCAAAATCCTCTCACGGCGTGGTTGGTCCATCTTCCATCATAATGACTAATTCAAACAGTCTTTTCGCTTTTTTCTATGTCACGGCTAAAAGTTTTAATGACCGCTTAATATAACAGGTTCATATTCCTCCCATAAGGTAGGAATGCTTACGGCTTTGAGCAACATTTATTTATCTATTTTAATTTATTATTCACGAATATAACTATAAAAAGAAGAGTGGTCCAGAGGAACCATCAGTGTCATTCGGCGTGGTGTAGTGTCAAAAACATGAAGCCCACATACGTTTCGGTGGTTTTTGCTTTATGCATGTTCAGTGCTTTCGCGGACGATGCTAATACTTATTTGGGAAGTGCCCGTGAGGCCCTTAGCCTCTACAAAGAATGTTCGGGTTCTGATGGATTATCACCATGTTTGAAGATCAAAGCCCTAGACGTTATTAGCAGATTAGGAAGAATGGAAAAAATTGAATTATTTGATGGATTAGTAGTTACTGGGAAAAGTGAAGAAAATCCTGATGAACCTAACTTGGAGCAAGTTGAACAGACCTTACCAAGGGCTTTGGATGCCAAAAATCAAGCTTTGACCGAAATGATGTTTAATAGAATTGCAAGAATGATTGGATCAAAATCTATTGAAATTTCGGTTCCTAAATTTATGGAATCAGGTTAGTGAAAATTTTATCTTTATCTCAAATTATTTTCGTTTTTATTTATTTATTTTCAGTAGTTTGCTTATTCAAATTTTTCCTGTAACATAAATACCAATTGTATAGGAATTATTGAATATTCTTAAATCAAAAAAATTGTTCGAAGTTTTAAATGCAGTGATTTGTTTTTTATGATATATCAGTAATAATTAAATAGAAACTCGGTGAAAAATACAATTACATAAATAATGTGTATTTTTTTTATTACAGCAAGAAAAAAAGAGGAAGACTCTAAATTTGGAGATATCGAAGAATTATTCGACAAATTTGATGACGGTAAGAAGGGCGGTCATGGTGGCGGTCACGGCGGAGGTCTCAGAAAGAAAATGAAGAAAGGAAAAGAAGGCATGGGTTAGTACATTATTTTTTGTTATTTTTTTTTTACCGTACTTTTTTCTATGGTATTTCATTTATCTTATATTGCGAGACAATAATGTAGAAAATATTAAAATTAAAGTTCCATAGAAAATTGAAATATTGATAGAATTTAAAAAAAAAATCAAATACCTTTTTGTTCGCAGGCATGAAAGATTTCTTCATGATGATCATGGCCCACAAATTGGCAATGATCCCACTTTTCATTGCTGGTCTCTTCATCCTAGCCGTTAAAGCTTTTACCCAAGCAAAGATTGCTCTCCTGATCGCCGGTATTATTTTTGCCAAAAAATTGATGGCCAGCAAAGAGCAAGGACATGGTAGTGGAGGACATGGACACGTTGAGCATGTATCTTCAGGATGGTCCGGTGGTGCTGCTGGTGGCGCGTCTGGAGGGTGGAGCAGCGGAGGTGGTGCAGGTAGGCATCAGATTGATTTTCAGTGAAATTTATCCACAATGGTGCATTGCTATTTTGTGTTGCAAAAAAGCTGTTGCTATTTTATCGAAAGTAAAAAAAAAAATAATACATAAATAATACACGACAATTTGCAAAAAATCATTCGCTGCAGATTAGGCCCTTACTTACCATTTTCCATATTTTGATATAATTTCCGTGCGCCTTTCAAATTACAAATCCAATTATAATATCATTATAAAAACTTAATCTTGTAACATCTACAACGTTTTCTGATGAATTAAGTACCTGAAAGTACATGACTAACCCGATTTTTTTAAAGAGCACATTAAAATTAAAGCTTATAATGATAGGTACTTAATTGGCCGAAAAGCAGCTCAGGAAAGATCAGCCTTCCGTAAAATATTTATGCTTCTTGAATTTATCATTGAAATTTTTAATTTCAGGTGGCTGGAACGGCGGTGGTGGCTGGGACAGACGTTCTTTGGAAGCAGCCCAAAACCTAGCTTATCAAGCTCAGCAACCCCAAGCCTAGTCAACAAATATAATAATAATTTATTTATTTATTTAATTTATCGATAGAGAAGTTACTGGTACTCAACCAACTTCTTTTTTTTTTCACTGTTCATCTAGTCATAAATATTTATTAAATCTGACACTGTACCTTGCCTTATTAAAGATTGCCTTCGGTGTCACTGGCATAGATAAAAACATTATCGCGCATTCTAATTAATATGTTTTCGAAACAATCTTGTCAATATGCCGTTGTGTGCCTAATCTTCTCTATGTTGATGTATGACCGATTTTTTGGTCATCGATTTTGTTTGACTGGTACCTACCTAAATTTAATTATTTATTTTTTGCCTTACAGAGGTGCTTAATTTATTTTATTTTTGTTAAATTCACTCACAAGAAATAAATTATTTTTTGTTAAATATTTAGTTTTATTTATGAAATTTTAACATTTTTGAACATGCATTGATTGTATTATTACTAGGTACATTTATATTTATCTCTTTTCTCGAGTAGTAATCAATTAGGTTAGATTTTTATATAGATTCTAAAGCTAAACAGTAAATCGACCAACACAAATATTTTTCATTTTCAAAAAGAGTTATATTTCACCTGAAATGTGGACGATCATCGATCACACAGGCTAGTTTATCATATTTACTTTTTGTTAACTTTCCCGATGAGGACAAAAATAGTTTATTCTTAACATTGAGCTTTATATAGGAATTTTTTAACATGATTTCAACCTAAATGGACCGAGTTAAAACGAAATTTTACACTTTCTTGAACAAAATTTAACCAAAAAATACTCATAATTAATTAGATAAAAATAATAAATATTAATAATTTCACACTTCTAAAGTAAATCACTAAACCGACCAAAACATAAAGGTTTCATTTTCAAGAGAGTTACTTTTTACGAGGAATGTCGGTGGTCACACAGGTTAGCAAGGTGCAAGACAGGGGGGCAACTCTCTCCTAAAAACCCAATGATGGTTAAGAGATGCGAATTTCTGGGTCACGATCAACCAATGGCCTTACGCTCTAGGGCGAGAAGAAAGAAGCCGAAGAGAATTTACCATTGATACTTACGTTGTTAGCGGTCCCCTCTTTGTCGCACTTTTATCGGGTCATGACGGTAGAGGAAAAGGTCAATCACGCCCGGTGTCAAAGAAGATACTATAAAACAACAAGTAAATTCAGTTGTTGCATCAGTCGAAAATATATCCTTCCGGTGAAAAGTGCGTGGATAATGAAATCTTATATACTTGTGGTGGCGTTTTGCACCCTCGGTGTACTCGCCCAGGATAGTTTCGAAAGCCAAAGTGTCCGTTTCATTTTAAAAATCTACGACGAATGTGCTAATTCAGAAGGCTTCTCACCATGTTTGAAGAAAAAAGCCGTCACCTTTCTAGATAGGGTTGCCAGAATGGACAAACTACCCTTAATGGATGGTGTTAGTTTGGTGAAAAGCAAAGATGCTATTCAAGAGCCTCAAATAGCTGAAAACGAAATTGAAGAAAATTTACCGAGATCATTGGAAGGTCAAGATGAAGCCCTCAATAATTTATTATCTGACAGGGTTACAAATCTTCTAGGGTCAAGGACAATTGAAATTTCAATGCCAAATATTTCAGAAATGATTGAAGAAGGTAAAATAATTCGAATAATTACGTAAAAAAAAATCATCAATAATTGTAATTTTGTTTGTTTCAGGTCGTAAAGGAGGCGGCGGCGGTGGTGGTGGCGGTGGCAAAGGAGGCGGCGGAAAAATGAAAGACATGATGGGCGGCATGATGATGGCTATAGCCGCCAAAATGGCAGCCCTCATCCCCATAGCCATCGCCGGTCTTTTCCTTCTTGCAGGGAAAGCTTTGATTACAGCCAAGATAGCGTTGCTCATTTCAGGAATAATTGCACTGAAAAAATTGTTTGCTGCTAAACAACATGGAGGTAGCCACCACGGAGGTGGATGGTCCAGTGGTGGAGGTGGAGGGGGAGGAGGGTGGCAGTCCTCTGGTGGTGGCTGGGATAAGAGGTCCATCGAAGCAGCTCAACAGTTAGCCTACAAGCCGTATAAACAAGCATAAATTATTTAGAATATTGATTACCTACTTTCGTTGTACATTTTATTTTTCTTTATAAGAAAATTATCATTCCATATAGCTAGTTTAGATTGGTATTTATTTATAATACTAAATAATTATTATGCATCAAGAAAAATACACTTTTGGAGCAGTCAACCGAAAAGGTCTATCTTAAAGGCCATGGTTATAAGAAAGTATTTTATTCTAATGTTTTTAATTTGATTTTTTGATATTTGCTTGTTCTTTCTAGTCAGCTTGCAAAAAAAAATATCGCTTATCTTATTTTTGCTTTTGGAATGGTATCAAACTAGGTATTTATTATTTATATTGTATTTCATTGCTTCATTATTCATGACGAGAACTACTGACGAAGACTTATTTATTTTATTTTTTATTTATATTCGCGACTATTGACTGTTTACCATTATTATTATTTAGTTTTCATTTTTTTTTTAATAAAAAAATCAGTTGTTTACAATATTGTTTCATTTATTACCTATACCTATTGGTAACATTAATGAAAAGAGATAAAAAGAAGAAAGTTTTCTGAATACATTAAAAAATCTAAGCCAAGCTGAAGGCAATTAACATGGGTAATTGCTAGCGTGTGATTTTCAATCTTAATTATCAGGGAATTGTTTTTATTTCGAACAAGCACACTATGCTCTACAATGACCGCGTTTCCATACCTATTTGGCACACATATGCTATTCTTCAAGTTTAAAGAAATTTAGAAAAAAAAAATCGTAAATGGCTTTAAACGATTTCACTTGTTGAATTACACCTGTTTAAGGAATAATCGCATTCAGTAACATTGTGTTTTCGGATTAGGTTTTTTTTAATGGGGGGCTTTCTCTTCGGATGCATCGATTCGTTTTCTTAAACTCGTTTGAGACCTTTAAAAGAAAGACAAAATGCATTATAAAGTGCATGTTTAATGGGATTTGCAAATGCGAACTTTCAACCTGGACAAATTAAAGATTAACTTTATGGCAACGAGCGCAAATTATTCTGATAAAAAAACAATCTATTCTATTCTGTTCTCTCGTGCGGGCCGATCCTCGAGCCAGGGAGTCGAGCTCCCCGAGAGAACAAAATTTTCGTCCTTATCATTCTCGTTTACTTTTCGATTACGTTGACAAGGACAAAACATTCGTTCTATCGGGGAGCTCTACTCCCTGGCCCGAGGATCGGCCACCTGGGGTGTGCGGAGACCTGCACTGGAGTTCGTGACTTATTGTGCCCCCTATGGTTTTCATATCAGGTCCACTCCCTTAGTAAAACCTAGGATGTCCCTGATATTTGCTTTCACGTTTTCCTTTGGTTTCGGATACTGTGTCTTATAGTGCCGCTGTCTTTGCCATCTAAGGTTAGGACATTGGGATAGTACATGTAGAGGTGTTTCATCTTCCTCTGCATACCTTTCGCACAGCGAGTCTTCTGCTAGCTTCATTGTGTTTAGATGTTTTCTGAGAGGGCAGTGTCCTGTCAACATTCCAACCACATCTCTCATTTGTCTCATGCTTAAGTTGAGCAGTTCTTCCGTTCTGCTCTTAGATGATGCTTTCATGAAGAGTTTGGACTGCCTGAGTCCAGGAAGTTCCATCCAGAGCTTTTGTGTTGCTCTCTTAACTGTTCCTGCAGATTTTTTTTTTCCAGAAAAGAATAGGAAAGAGAGAGAAAGAGAAATTATATAAATAAAGGTACTTAAATTATTATTAGACCTGGAGCTATTTAGGTCTTACAAGTTTAGAATTCATTACTTAAGAGGCTAGGAATTACTATTAGTTTAAAGTTTAACAATCATAGCGAAAGCCTTTGCAGACAAAAATAAATAAATAAAAATACATATTAAATAAAATACACATTTGAGTCCTCGATTATTCAAAAAAAGTATTAAATAGTAGAGACTTTAACTCCTTCTTGAAGACACCGACTCTTGGGCAGTCTCTGAGTACATTAGGAAGTTTGCTGTAGTAAGCAAGGCCCTGAAAAAACACATATCTCTCTGTCCTCCAGTTGTTCTCATTGCTTCTAGTCTTAGGGTATTTCTTTGTCTGGTGCTATAGTTGTGAATTGTATTTGTTGGAGTGAAAGTAAGGTTGGAGTGAATATTTGATAGTTGTGGATGAAAGTACATATTTGAAAGATGTACAGGGACTTTATACTCAGGATGTGATTAGGTTTGTAAAGGCTAGACGTTGTATACAGCAATGGAAGCTGGAACATTTTCTTTATAGCTCTGTTTTGTAAAACCATGAGATGGATGTTTGAGGTATTGCCCCAAATTAAGGTGAGATATGATAAATGAGAGTGAATCAGCGAATGATATCATTTAACGTTGCGATATGTTGATGTATCTGGCAACTCTACCAAGAATCCCTACAGCGGGTGATATCTTTTTGCAGACTTTGGATATGTGAGGTTCCCATGTAAGCCTATGATCGATGAATAAACCAAGAGACTTGATACACAGCTCTTTCTTGAAGTTGAATTGGCCTAGATTTAGGGTAACGTTTTGCCAAGTAGCATTGTTGGAAATAATCATATAGCTACATTTTTTCGAGTTAAGTTAGAGTTTGTGGAAACATAGCCATTTATTAATGGTTGTTAGATCTTGTTCTATGGTTGTTTGAACCAAGTTAAGGTCTCTTCCAGAGTATACCAGGCAGGTGTCGTCCGCGTACAGATATATGGCAGATCTTAGAGCAAGTTTTGTTATAAAGTTGATGTATACCAAGAAAAGAGTCGATCCTAGGATCGATCCTTGTGGTACTCCACATCTGACGTCAGCTGGAGTGCTTTGTGTATTATTAACAGTCACTTGTTGTATTCTACCCAGTAAGTATTCCCTCAACCAAGCTAGTGCCATTTCTGTCACACCATTCCCAAGTAACATTTTAAATGCTTTTTGGCATTATCTAGGTTATATGAAAGCTTTAAGAATGTAAAATTAGAAGCTTACTATTTTAAAACTATTGTGTTTTATTGAAGAGCTGTAACAACATTGTAAGCACCTAATATTACAGCCTTTTAGCATTAAAATCGCGAATAGTTTTAAAGTAGCCGTAATAATGCTGCCAACATTTCTAGTTTGAAGCTATTTTAGTTTAAGAATAGTTTTATCATGGACTTAAAATAAGTTTTATGAATGCTGTCTGTATAGCTATAAAACTTTGCCTTTGGAAACCCCAAAGCTTTAAAAAGGCTTTATAAAAGGCTGTTAAAGCAATCTCAGGAGTGGGCCCTTGCAGTCTTAAAAGAACTTTAAAAGGGTTCTTTAATGGTTGCTAAGGCAATATGGTTTTATGAAATATTTTTATTCTAGGTTTTATAGTAACTCTTAACACTTCTTTAAAGCTAAAAATGTTACTTGGGTTCTGCTCTAATACTGATAATAATAAACTGTGATCAACAGTATCAAAAGCTTTTTGAAGATCCAATGAAACAAAAACACAGTTTTTCCTTGTCTACCCTTGACTAGATCTGTAGCTGCCGGAATTGTACTTGAGTTTTTCTGAAACCATACTGCTATTTGAAAAAGGCGTTAGATGATTTAAGGAAGTGCACAAGTTGATCGTTGACACAGGCTCCCAATATTTTGGACAGTGCGGGAAGGATTGAGATTGGTCGATAGTTGCTTGATATTTTAGTATCTTCAGTTTTGAAAAGTGGAACAATTTTGTCCCTCTTCAGTGAATTTGGTATGCTGGTGGTGGTAATTGTTAAATTAACAAGTCTGCATAAAATTGGGATGAATTCATTCTTGAATTCTTTAGGAATCTTCATACTGATATTATCGATTCCAGGTGCGGCGTCCCTTTTCATACGATCAATAATCTCTGATATATCATCATTTGAGACTGGTTTCCAAATGACAATGAACTCTTCTGGAGTTAATTGTGGCGGCCGATAATTGTATCAGTGTATATTTTTTACTAGGGACTGTCCAATCTCAGCGAAGTAGAAATTAAGCGTATTACAGACACTGTCAGATTTATATGACTTATTTTGATATTCGGTATTGTCGTTTCCCTTCCATTTTTTTTTTGAATTTTAAATAATACTATTTAGTACAGACCAAGTCTTTTTACTGTCACCATTAGCTTCATCAAGTTGTGTAGAAAAATATCCTTTTTTCACATTATTCACTTTTATAATGGTAGTCCCTAACCTGCGCTAGTTCATGAAGGTGTACGTTAAACCAAGGGGCACTTTTCTTGCGAAATCTGTCTTTAAATGTTTTTATTGTGATGTTATTTGAGTAAATTCTAATTATTTCATCACACAAAGTATTGAGGTCATTCTACTCACAACTATTGAGATCAACAAGTTGCATTCTAAATTTAGACTTAGTTAGAATGGTCCTTGAGTATTCATTTTGGGTCTTAGCTGGATTACTTCTAGTTTGTAAGAGGTGCACTCTATGGTCACTTATAGGATGGTCAACTATAGATCTTTTTGTGGAAAGAGAATCAGTATTTGATAGCACATAATCGATAAGAGTTTGAGAAGAGTGCTCTGTAATTCTTGTAGGCACAGATTTGTTCAATATTTTAAAACCATTCGATGTAATGGTTTTATTGTAAAATAGTCTTTGCTGGGTATTATAATTTTGAAAGTCTACATTGAAGTCCCCTTAGATATAAGTTTTTGGTTTATTACAGAATGCATTAAGAACATTGTCAACTAAATCAACTAAATCTTGGTAATGATAGTCTAGAGGTCTATAGATAACTCCCAAGGCCACTGAGTTGTTCACCAAAACTGTCAAGGTGGAACAGTCTGTATTCAAGGAGTACTGGTACTGCTGGATAAAAGAATAGTTACTTTTTATTAGGATCCCCACACCTCCACCTCTCTTAGTTCTACTCACAAAAGCTGAATTATATCAATAATATTTAAATATTGTTCCTCACTTGTTGCGAGCCAATTTTCAGTGATTAATATGGCGTCTGGCATATTGCGGTTGTCAACTAACTGTTCCGAATCCCACCTTTTGTTTTTGACTGATTGAGCATTCAGATACAATATATTAAAACTGCTCGAATTGTCACAGTAAGATAAGTCGAATTGGTTCTGAATTTGCACTAAGGTATTTTCATTGCTCATTTTCTAGGTTCTTTATAAAATTAAAAACATAATATGGCGGAAATATTTTTATTGCTCATTATCTAGGTTTTTTATAACGTCTTCATCAAAAACATAAATGGCGGAGGATTCATCTTTTTTTTTTTAAGTATACTCTGCCATCCTTGGTCCGGCAATACTTATATTCCTTTTGCTTTCTAAGGCTATGGGACGTTGAACAGATTCCTATTTACAAATGTCAGCATTTCATTAACAAAAAATTTTGTGTGTGTATTTGAGCCTCGATTATGGCGTAGCATACTGGCATCTAATTTTAGCCTTTTTCGAAGGCCCATAAATTCATTTTTTTAGACCGATTGTTGCAAATCTAACAACAACAATAGATCCTTTCTTTGTTGCTTCCTTATAGCACTCAGAGAGCTCACTCTCAGAGAATTTACCACCCAGCAAGTCATTCGCCACCTCCTTAGCCATACTTGAGGGACTCTCGTTGTTTATTTGGGTTCCAATGATTTCGTTGTTCAATCGATCATTTTCCCCTCTGGCCTCTTTCAGCTCCTTCAGGACCTTTTTATTCTCAGCATCGAGAATATCAAATTTCTCACTCATTAAAGACACCGATTCCTCTAGTTTTGTTATCATTTGCAGTAAATCAGTCATATTTCCCTTTTTATTTGAGCCCTCGTTGGATGATTGAGAAGCATTAACCTCGCTTTTAGAGCAATTCGAACATTTCACTAAAGTGCCTCGAGAAGCACCACACTTTTTTGCACAACTATCGTGGTAATAAACAACCCCACATACACTGCATTTCACATAATCTACGACCTTTTTCTTGCAATAAAAACATATTTTGTCTGGAGTGCACATTATATGATGTTTACATTCAAGTAACCTTCCCAACCAAGTTTGCCCTTACATGTTGATATGATGTACCACATGTGGGCAGGGATCCAATTAGGGTTTTCTCTGATCCCTTTCTTGCGAGATAAGATCAGATTTTTCATTCCCTTCAATCCCTGCGTGTCCTGTCATCCATTCAAGGATCACCTTGTAGTGTTTTGCCAGTTCAGCCACAGTTTTTTTGCAGTGTTTCATTGTTTTGGCCGTGGTGCTGATGCTCCTTAAAGGGGGTGTGCGCCAAAAATTAAAGTTTTAGTGTTCAAACCTCGTTATTCTACGATAAACCATCGCTGAGATATACCGCTTTAAAGTGTGGACGACGCTCTCGTGACGTCACGAAAACTTCGTCCAGCGGCGCTCTGCATTGTTAATTTGATTGTGCCCGGCACGCGTGAGTGGTTTTTGTTTAGATTATTGCAGGTAACACAGGAAAAACATTATGTAAATTTAATTAAATCCACTTTCTCGTGCGTCGCTTGAGCTTTCGTGACGTCATAGGGTGAGATGCGGTACCTTCATAGAGCCATATCTGCGGTATTATTTGTCATAGAGGGGTGCGGATTTCACTGTTATTCTTAGATTTTTTTTCTCTTTTTTTTGAGATGAAGTTGTTTTTTTGGCGCACACCCCCTTTAATGACTTAAGAGCTGCTTGGCTATCGCTCCTGATTCGGACCGTCTGATTAGGAACTGTCTCTATCAGGATGATCTCTGCGCATGTTGTTATCGCAACTATTTCAGCTTGCATGATGGTATCCAATGAGCCCAGGTTAAGACTGTACGTCTTTCCCGTGTTCTCGTTATAGATCCCCACGCTAATGTGCGTTTTCGATCCGTCTGTATACCAGACAGATTCATGGGGTTTGCGTGTCTTCCCATAGGCTTCGCCCCTATCAGGTATATGTACCTCAAGGGGTTTCCAGATTTCATAGGAGCATCGAATTTTCTTCTATGTTTTTGAAAATTGTCCTGGAAGAGCTCGGTCCCATCCGTTATTGATGTTCAGCCTAAAGGCAGCAGCTAGCGCCTCCTTCTCAACCACCAGGTGCAGCGCGGTGACAAACGATCACTAAATTGACTGAAAAAATACGATGGTTATGTAGGTGCGATTTTGACAAAATATATAATTTTTTACTATACTTCCTCTTTTTTGTCTATTTGTTTTTCCTCTTGGTTTTGTATTTGTTATTAGGATATTCAAAGGTGTGTATGTAAAATATTTTTACTTTCTTTTTCTTGGGCAGCTTTTGATAATTTGGTATTTTGTCATAATTGCATATTTGAAATGTTCCTTTTCGGCTTGAAGTGTGGTGGAATAGAGAGACGGAATATTGTGAATATTGCTGGAAATAAAAATCAATATTATTATTATTCTCAATTTCTCGATCAAAATCGGTATATCTTGATAGGTTCAGAGCTCAACAAGAGTTCATCAGTTTATCCTAACACTTTTCTTAGGATGTGTGCATCAGTGCCTGAGAGAGCAATTTTTTGTAGCATAATAGATGATGGATGACCTGGTATTTCACTTGTTCTCTGCTCCGGTTCTTTTGTGACGGTATACCTAATGCTCCAATCAATATAGGAACCACCCTTATTTTGACATTCCACATTCTAGATATTTCAATTGCCAGATCTTTGTATTTACTTAGTTTTTCAACTTCTCTGACTGCAATATTCATGTCGTCAGATACTGCAACATCTATTAATAGGCATGATCTAGACTTCTTACCATGGATTACAATATCAGGTCGGTTTGCCTTAATGCTTCGGTCAGTATTGATAGGAACATCATATAATATTGTGATGTCAAGATCATTATATTTAATGTTAACAATTTTTTCAGGGGTATGTTGGTAATATTTCTCTGTAACATTAAATTTATAATAGTTACATATAACCCAGTGAATATAATCCGCAACTTTATTGTGCCTATGTGTATATATTCTGACGGTGCTAATGTCGAGCATCCCGCTATGATGTGGCTCACATGTTCCTCAGCCTTTCCACACATTCAACTTTCTGTTTGAAGATGTTTTTCTGCAAATATCTCGTATTCAATGCCTGATCTTGAGCGGGAATTATTAGATTTTCTGTTTCCCCTTTCAAACTTGCACTCTTTAACCAAGCTATACTTGCATTTTTATTAACTACCAGTTTTTCTAGTTGCTTGAAGACTTGTCCATGTAGAGGTTTGCTTCGAAGTTCGTCGATGCGTTTATTTTCTATTATAGGCTTGACTCCTTTGTTACCTTCGTTATCTTGTCCGGCTAGTAAATATTTTTCTTTAATAGCGGCATTTTCCTTTGTTATAGAGTATTTCTGTTGTTGATCGTCGTAATGTTTTACTAAAGTAACATATTTATCCTTAGAATTATTCATATATTCTTATTATTATTATTATCACATATTATTATTATTTTTTCTTTTCAGCCACCAAGTACACATCGTGTGCCTAGGGTGCCTTAGAATGATTTTGGATTTTTCGACAATGAATTGTGTTTTCACGTGTTGTTTTATAGTACTTTACGCAGAATGTGGGCTGATTTCAACAGTGTCATCTTCTGGATGGTCTGCAAGTTGTATTGCCCAAGTAGTTCTTTCAGAACTGGACATGTTGTTTTGGTGGTGGGTAAGTCCTGTGGCGCCAACCACTACTGGGATTATTTTAGTTTTCATCGCCCACATTCTCTCTACTTCGATTTTCAAGTCTCTATATTTTAGGTTCTTTTCTGCTTCCTTTTGAACAATTTTATAATCAGATGGGATGGATACATCAATCAGCAGGCATGTTTTCTCCTTTTTGTCTTTTAGTACTAAATCTGGTTTGTTCGCTTTGATGAGTCTGTCTGTGTGGATCTGCGTGTCCCATATTAGTGTTATCTGTTTAATATTAACTACAGGATCAGGCTCATGTTGGTACCATTTGTCTGTGACTTTTATATTATAGGCTCTGCATATATTCCAATGAAGTTGGGCAGCAACGGCATTGTGCCTGGTTGAATATTCTTTCTTCGTTAGCATGGGGCATCCGGCTAGGATATGTCGAATGGTCTCATAATTCTTCCGACAGAGTCTACAGTTTGGTTCATTGCCGGTTTTGAGAACTTTTGCTTTGATGTAGTTTGTACACAGTGCCTACTCCTGTGCTGCCGTTATGAGCGCTTCTGTCTCATTTTTCAGGTCGCCACTTCTTAACCATTGCCATGACTGTTCCGAGTGTACAAACTCCGTTTGGCTTCCTCATAGGAATTGTCCATGCATGTTTTTGCCCTTCCACTCTTTTAATCTTTCCGTTCCTGTTTTACCAGATTTATCCGCTCATAATATATTACATTCGTAGTTTGGGTTTCTATTTTTTTTGTCTGAGAACCATTTTCAGTATTCTATCTTTTTTTCATTTCCAAGTATATGTCTAGGCCCTGAACTGCGATATTAAAACTAACTTCGATGTTTGTCAGTCTCCGACCTCCTTCTTTTCTTGGCACATATAATCTATGGATATCAGCTCTGGGGTGAAGTGCGCCGTGAAGGGTCAGTAGCTTCCGCGTCTTTCTGCCTAATTTGCGGATGTTTTCTTTCATCCAATAATTTATTATGCCAAAGCAAAGCTGTATTGTAGCACGGGAATGGTCAAGGTTGTTATCGCGCTGATCTGGTTTTTAGAGTTCATTTTGCTTTTCAATATTACTCTTACTCGTCTTGGATACTCCTTAGTTAATTTTTGTTTCATCTTGTCGTTGTTTGGGCCTCCATTTTTTTCCATTCCAAGGTATTTGTACAGTTCGACCAGTTTTCCTCGTTCGGAAGTGATTTTCGCGCATTTTTCGATCCCAAAGCTCATCTGGATGTCGTCACTAAAGCCCTCAACTATTTTCAATTGTGTTTGAAGTCCTTTATCATTCTTCGCCATCTATCAGCTTTAAATCATCTACATAGAAAAGATGATTATTTTTTTCCGTTTCCTTCTTACACTTATAGCCTGTTTCAGAATTTTTGAGTAGGGAGCTTAAAGGAAATAACGTTAGGTAGAAGATTAGGGGCGATAGGGCATCTCTTTGAAAAATTCTCTTTTTTATTGGTATATTTTTTATGCTAATCGTGGTTGAAGAGGATATCAGGTTCAGGTCGGTGTTCCAGTGTTCCATAGAATTTTTGAGGAAATTAATCATTTTGCTGGGGGCTTTATACATCTTCAGAGACTCAGTGAGCCAACTATGTGAAAAGCTTTGAGGTAGTCGATCCAGCAAACAGACAAATTCTTCCGTCCTTCTTTACAGCCCTTAATTATCATTTTGCTTACCAAAAGGTTATCTTCACATCCATAACAGTTCTTTCTGCACCCCCTTTGTTCTGTAGGAAATATGTTCGTCTGTTATTCTTTTCTAGATGCAAGTGCACGCGTGTTGTAAGTAGTTTGTATGTTGTGTTGAGGCATGTTATAGGTCGATAGTTTTTGGCATATTCTGTTTTGTCGTTTTTGGGCTTGAGAAACGTCTTCCCTTTGGTGAGCCATTTGGGACTGGCCAGCCCATCATTTGGAAGCGCATTATATTCTGACAGTAAGCTTTGATGAACTGCTTAATCTTTTTATCTAAAAGTTGGGTATACCGTCGATTCCTGGTGCTTTCCAATTAAATGTGCTTTCAGTCTTTTTTGTAGTTCTTCAGTGATGTCTTTCTATTATTATTATTATTATAACTATTATAAATCTGTCTGCACATTAGGCAATTTTAATTGTAGTCTATAATTTTGATGAACTCACGATTCTGTGATTTTTCTAACTGATTTTAACTTTTTAACTTATTTTGCATTCAATTTTTCCTTATTTTAGAGGTATCATACCAACTGCTTTTTGTTTGTTTGCGAAACAATAAATTTGTAATTTGCACTGTGTTTTTGAGCGACTAACGGCATCGCAGTTCAGTAGAAAGTGATGGTGAGGTGTCTCTTCTCCGTCTTCACATAATCTGTAGGTGCCACATTCTTCTAACCCCAACTGCTGTAGGTGTTTCTTAAGTCTGCAATGTCCCGAGAGAAACCCGGTTAGAGTCTTGAAACTTTTCTTGCTAAGGTTGACCAGCAGTTCTGATCTTTTTTGGTTGAAGTTGCCCAATAGATCTTTGGCCTGTCATAGTCCTGGCTGTTCTAGCCATCGTTTATTCCTCAGCCGGTTCTCTTCTTATTGGGGATATCTTTGAGGTGCGCATTTCCGACGCCGCAAAATGGTTCTGGCCCAGTGGAGGGAGTAGACGCTCCCGTTCTTGCGAGTCTGTCTGCCCATTTGTTGCCCTCGACACCTATGTCTCCGGGCACCCAGAGGAGGGTTACTTTATTTTGTTTTCCCAGTTCATTTAGTTTCTGTGGACTTTCCCATACTGTCTTATAATTGATGACCGTGGATCTCAATGCTTTGATAGCTGCTTGGCTGTCAGACATTATTACAATTTTTCGTTTCCGATAACTTCTCTTCAGGTTGAACTGCACGCATCTTCCGATCGCATGAAGTTCCGCTTGAAATATGGTTGGTGATTTCCCCATTGGCTGCGAGTATCTGGTCCGTGGCCCGAATACACGGGCTCCAGTCCCATGAGCAGTTTTGAAACTTTCTGTGTACCATTTAATGTAGCTACGTTTATTAATTGCTTGTCGTGGTGCACTGGCGTAGCCAGGATTTGGCCTTGGGGGGGGGGGGGGCAAATTTGCAGGAACGCCGCCGGAGGTCGGCAAAGCGCCGCAGGCGCGACATTTTTGGGTGCCACGCCGCTTTTTTAGTGTTCTTTACGGTATTTTTGGGTCTGTTTATTTTAATTTTGAAAAATTATTTATAAAATTTAAAGGTTTTGGGGGGGGGGAAGGCAAATGCCCCCTTGCCCCCCCCCCCCCCCCCCTGGCTACGCCATTGTCGTGGTGAGTGGGTACAGATTATAATTTTGTGAAAAACTAACCACCTACCCATTATCAGAATTTATTAAAGAACTTATCAAACAAGAAAGAGAAAATAAGTCATTTTTCTAAAATTTGATTATATACCCTAGGTAAGCTAGTTTAGTTTTTCACCTCATATGGTATTTTTTTATATTTTAACACTTCTCTCAATAATCTCTCAAATTCCTTCAAATTAATTATCTTGCCTTTTCACTTGATTTTTAGTTTACAACGAAATTTTCAATGCAACCTATGTTATTTCACATGTATTAACATTATTTTATATTATTTTTTGACAATCTTATGTCAATATACTTAAAAAAAAGAGACAAGGCTCGATGCGGAAACTATAGAGGAATATCTTTACTTTGTGTTGCGGGGAAGATCATTGTCAGGATATTATCAAATCGTTCAATCCCAACTGCCGAAGAGGATCTCCCAGAGACAGAGTATGGCTTTGGACCCAAACGCGGTACAGCTGACATGATTTTCAGTGCAAGACATATGCAAGAGAATTCCAGGGAGCAAAATCGTCGTCTTTACATGACCTTCATAGATTCAGTGAAAGCATTTGATTCGGTCAACAGAGAAGCGCTTTGAAAGACACTGGCTAAGGTAGGGTGCCTGCAGAAGTACATTCAGATACTCCGCCTGCTGCATGATAATATGAATGCAACCGTTCCAAACAACGATGGACAAGGAGAGTCTTTTTAAATGACTACAGGCGTTAAACAGGGCTATGTTGATACATCCTCTTTATTTTCTCTATTCTCTATTCATAGGATCCATACTTCACCTTGTCGAGGGTCACCTGCCGTCAGGAGCAGAAATCCTCTACAGGCTTGATGGCGGCTTATTCAACCTAAACAGATTACAAGCCAAGATGAAAGTATCGACGACATCGATAATTGAACTTCAAGATGCGTATGATTAGGTCGTGATAACCAATACAGGGAAAGATCTTCAGGCAAATATCAATGCATTCAACCAAGCATACAGGAGAATTGGCCTAGAGGTGAACTTCAACGAGACGCAGATTCTGCACCAACCCGCACCAGATACTATTCCTCAAGCCCTAAATATAGCTATAAATGTTATCTTTGCAGAACGTAGAACACTTTCCATACCTTGGGAGCCATCTGTCACCACCCATTGATGCTGAAATCCAGCATCGCCTGAAGTCTGCTAGCGCGGCATCCGGGTGACTTGAGAGAGTCTTCAACAATCACGGCATCAGCGCTGAGACCAAACTTCGTGTCCACAATGCAGTTGTAATACCAACACTTACATATGGCTGCGAAACACGGACCACCTACAGGAGAAGAATAAAAAAAACACCAGCGATGCCAGAAGGATTCTACAGATTAAATGGCAAGACCCACGAACGAACAATATTGTTTAAGAGGAGGCCAAAACAACTAGCATAGAAGCACTAATCATTAAGCACCAACTTC